TTTGTATCACAATTAGAAAAATTTTCTACAATTGAGCCGGAAGATAATGATGATAACAGAAATGATGATGATAATGAAGATGATGATTCAATTAATATAGACGAAGAACATGTAAATAGACTATTTAAACTTAAAAAATGAAATAAAAGATTGGTAAAAATATTTTATTAAAAAAATTATTTTTCCCATATAATTATTAATACAACTATTAAAATAATTTACGATTTTAAAGGAAAATACCTTTATAACCAAACCTCATGAGTATTAAACCAAGATGTAACAGTGAGATTGTGAAATACAAAGTAGCATTATCCCTTAAAAAACTTGCTGTTTATTTCGAAAATAAAGTACTCCTTGTGTGATGATCTTCTCTAGCACGTGATTTATATATGGGGTCACAAATGGCTGATGTCAAAAATATATCCCAATTAAACAATTATGTTCCAAGTCTTTTTAGCAAGATTTTATTTATTTTTCATGAGAAATAAAAATGAAATACATGCATACAATATTAACACTCACATTTTGTACTAAATGATTTCTACAACACATTGTTAGATAATGATTTCAAAAGAATTAAATAATCTAATGGGGAAAACACATAATCAAATTGAAATATGCTTTAAATGATTATTAACTAATTGGTAAATAACATCATTTTTCAAAAATGTAAATAATAATATTGGAGGCATGAAGAATTTTTCCTGTATTGTGTTAATTGATTCTTAAAAAAAAAAAAACAGGATTATTGCCATTATTAGAATAATTCTATTTTACTTTTCCATGATAAACATTCTTTTTCTAATTTCTTAATATTTTCCATTAGCTCTTCTAATTTAGGATCCAATGACTTGACAACTACTTCATCTAAAATTGATACATATTTATCCTTATATTTACTAAAAGAAATTAATTTAGTATTTAAAGGAAATAAAAGATTATCATTAAATTTTGTAAAAAATAAATAGGAGGAAATTACCAGACTTTTGGTGATTGTTTTGATATTCCTAATAAACTTCCATGTTTTTGTTGTGGTAATGATAAATGATATTGAAGTAAATAAACTGATGTAATAATATATGAACCTTCTACATGAAATTGGACTACCAGATCTTCTGGTAAAGAATTAAATATCTTAAAGGAATAAAATAAATAATTAAATTGGGTGGAAAAAAACAAAGCAAAATAATAATATAAGATGAATATAAAAATATATATATATGTAAGCTTTTACCCGTGAATCACAGATTTTATAAGGAAATAATCTTTCTTCATTAGTATGATTTAAAGAAACATGGCTATTTTGTATATATTTAAAAATTTTCTCCAATAACTTAAAAATACATATAATTATTGCTTTTTTTTAAAAGAAATATACTTGTAAAATTCATATGATTTATACAGTATTCAATGAAGAAACAGTTTAATTACTTGGTGAGCATTTTCTTTTGTAGAAGTTCTTTTTGAAGTATTTAATTCGTCTAAGGCTAAGGCAATATAATTTTGTGCATCTCCTAACTTTTATATGAAGAAATAAAACTTTTATTAGCAATCACATATAACCATTATTATTAGTGACTAGTGTTAACTAATCAATGTTGATCAGATTTACACAATATATATACCTGCTCAATAAAATAAGACTTGTTACTGTTTATTGTTACTTTAATAAAATTACCACGATTATAACTTGGTAATTTTATTTGTAATTCCTAAAAAAAAAAAAATAAATTAATAAAAAAAGATCCAAATATAATAATAGCAATAGCTTTGTTATTCTTCTTACCCCTTTAATAATATCACTACCATCCAAAGTAACAAATCCTTTTAATGTGTCGGTGCTATTAATGGTATATGTATGTATGTGTAAATATATATTTTAGATAATAAGGTTGAACTTCCATCATAATGTTAAATTCTTACTTAATTGAAGATATTGCTAATGTGCTAGTACTTAAAAAATCTAAATAATAATAATAATATTATTATTATTAATTGTGTGATTATTTAAGTAAAAGTATTTTAAATTAATACCATAATTTTCTGGACTTTTAATAAGTAATTCACATTTCTAGTTTAAAAAAAAATAAACTTTTTTAAACAAGAAAATATATTAATCAATTAATTTGATTGATTATAGACATTGAATAACCTTTAAGCCTTTGTTCAGACTCTCTAGTAAACCTGGAATTTGAGAGTTTAATAACCAATCTAATTCTTTGGCCTAAAGATTGTACATTATTATTATTATTATTATTATTATTATTATTATTATTATTATTATTATTATTATTATTATTATTATTATTATT